CGCAAGGTGGGCGGCTCCCATGCCAGTGGGATGAAAGGCTACTCCTGTCAGTATTCCACGTATCCAAACATTTCCAGTCTGCTTCCGCTCTATTCTGTAGTTCTCGATTGTAGCTGTATATAGCACTGTGTAGCCATACGTTCCCATACGACCGTATACAGTATAAATTGATTTGTATTCAATGACACATATCGACAACAACCATCCCTGCCCAACCAGACCCGAGTGCGACCCGAGCGTAACCAGCCGCAACCAATAACACACAAACTGACCCGATGTATGGTCGTATGGCATTGTGCGACCATACAGCCTTATCCGACCACATACAGCCAAATTGGGGATATGCACGGAAGTTCGTATTATTTCGGAGTTCCCTACTGCATACCGTACTAATCGACCTAATACAGTAGAGACCATGTCGATTCTCACTGGGACTGAGCCCTCACATTCCGCATACGCATGCCAAACATCAGGAAAAACCCGAAACGCGAATTAGCACTAATTTAGAGATAATGCGCTAACGTACCCACTAATGACGCTATTGCAATGCTAATAGTGCGCTCGATCCATGCACGCGTCTTACGGTGTCGGGCCCGTAGGGCGCTTGATGGCCTCGCGCGTGCGGATTAGACCACGCAAGTCGAATTTGAATGATGCTCAATACAAGAGTTTGTACATATTACGATCTACGAAAGAGTTTACATAGAATGTAGGACATAAATCCAAGACATTACTACTCGTCCATGTCCGTGGTGCAACTGGTCCGAAGTCAGGGAATGAATGACAGCTTCGCTCTAGGCTATCTACTGGTATTATGCTTGCACGGCGTTCCTTATCTCGATTTAAGGCTCGTGAGATTTTGTAGAGACCATGGTCAGCATGAGGTGATGTGAACGCAGTGAACCACTCGACATAAGCTAGGTGACGAGGTCGCTCTGGGACTGGGAGACGCGGAAAAAGCTCTGCCATCGCCTTGTCGGAGATTTTGAAAACTACACGGACTTGCGCCACACGGAATTCTGAACAGGAGTGAAGAAGTTAGTCATAGGTCCCTTTACAACAAGCAGACAGACTTACGGTGAACACCTTGTCGTTGCGGAGTTTCGGCGTCTGTAGGCTGGTCTTCCCGTACTAAGGCGGTGTCGAAACGTGCAGGAACACCATCTCCGTACTTGTTTTTGCGGGCCGGACGGACGTGGATGACATCGTGAGTCTCATTACCTGGAGTGGTCAGCCTTTGAGGGTCTGATACCCAGAACTTCACCTTGTGATATACCGACACCTTTTGCATAGGCATATAGACCTTAGCCGATTCACGTTCGACTTGTGCAGCTGTGAAAATAGGGTTATTCTTCTTGGCAACGTACCGAGTGAGAGCGTCTCGAAAATGTGTTGCGCCATAGGCCAAGGCTAAGGTGGGGAAGTCGACGGCGTAGATGGTGGGATGGCGTGTCATCTCAATTCGCATGCGAGGTGAGGGAGCGTCGTCTGTAGGGAGATGAGGCCAGGCAGGGACCATCGCGATCGGAGGCGGAGGGTTCAGGTCATGCGGAGGGGGAGGTGACTGCAAATGAAGCTGACAAAGGCGCCACTGGATATGCTTCTCATGCCGCTGCATTTTCTCCTTACGCTCAAGCCAGACCGTCATTTGCGCAAGCTCATCCTTCCGATTGGTTGCCCGGTACGCGTCCTTAGTCATATCGATGTGGAGCCGCTCGGAGTACTGGGTGTCGTAATTGTCTGTCGTGCCGAATAGCTCAATGGAATGGCGGTAGTGGTCTAGGGAGTGGAGTTTCGGAAGTCGGAAATGGGAGCGGATGTTGAGGTCAACGAATACAGCCTTGTTCTCATGGAATGATGCGAGGGCCTTGTCGAGGAGGCCTAGAGTCTCCTCCGTCTGTGTCGGGTACTGCGCTAGATAGAGAAAGTCTAAGAGAGCACGAGTGGCGCGAACAAGCCGCACAGGAGATGCGCCGCCAGGAAGGGGAAGACCAATGATGAGTCCGAGAAGATCACGACAGATGTCCTGATGCTCCTTTCCAGTGATCCGAGACATTGTGGAGATCCCATTGGGGAAATGGCGTAGGTTGTGATTGAGAGGGAGTCGACGGCAGCGAGCATCAATCTCGTCTTCGCCACACGCTTCTTGCAGCCAAAGGATAAGGTGCTTCATGACTCCTTGGTATAGCTGATGGAGGATATCGGGGGTGATCGACATGTAGATGTTCGTAAACGGAAGATCGAGCCAAAATGGATGCGGCAGCGGCTTGATGCCTGCATCGTGGCAGGCCTTCGAAAAAGCAGTGGGCCCTTCGTCTAGTGCAGATAAGGCATCGAAGACCTTTCCGAGGTCTCGCAATGCCCGCGAGGTGTTCGAGGAACTTCCGACCTCATCGCGAGGAATCGGGCACTTCGGGCACTCCCCAGTCTTGCAGCCGCTCACAAGGAGCTGTTCTGGGTAGTCGCCGACGTAAACCGCAAGGATTGGATGACCACGGCGCACAACACCATCACCGCTCATAAGCTCCA